GTAAACAAAAATAAAATTTTTAATAAATAGTTATTTTAGATACTTTCTAATTAAATAATTAAAAATTGAAATTAAAAAAAATATTTAAAATTTTTTATCTAAATTTTAATAAAAATATTTTTAAACTCGAAGTTGGATGATATACGATACATTTAATAAACTTATCCACTAATTATTTTTTTGGTATTAAACAATAAAATATAACAAACTACTAAATTTTATAGTCAATTATTTTCTATTTTTAAATTAATTTTAAATAACAAATTTATGTTATATATTTAAAGGAGTTTTGAATTCCGGTAACTACAATATTAAAATAAATAATACAAAATCTTTTGTTATACATATATTAAATTCTTAAAATTAAAAATTTAATGAAATGAAAATAATTTTAATTTAGAAAATTATGAAAAAATTTAATTGTAGTTTGAGAGTTTTAAAACATTTTTTTTCGGTTCAAATTTCCTTAGTAAAGACAAGAATTAATACGATTTAAGCCTATTTATTTTCCCATATAAATTAAACGTTAAATTTAAATTGAAACTTAATTAATTTATCAAATTGTTTAACTTCATTGCAACACTCTAACTTACACTTTAAATTAATTAGATTTTCCTTTAATATTAAAAATTAAATGAACTAAAATATAAAGGAATTATAAATTAAATTAATTTTTGGCACTTGCTATTAGAATCAAAGAATAAAATGTCTAAGATACTAAAATTCCAACGTTTTTATTAATTGAAAAGTCATTGAAATAAATTTTTGAGAAATTGCAATAATTTTAAATTTCTTTCTTTTTATTTTTTAATTTTTTATGAGTTAAAAAGATTAATTATTGAAAAGATCATTATAAAAAAGATCAACTAAAAAATTATTAAAAATTTATTTCCAAGCAGAATTTAAATTTTTAAAATAAATTTCCGAACTAATATTCTTCTTAATCTTTTTCATAAAATTTTTGTTCAAATCATTTTGCTTCTTCAAAAAATAGTCGTAAAGAATTAATGTTATTATTGCGTGAACAAAGAGTAACTTAACGAGAAATGTTTTTTAGAGATAATTTCGATTTATTCAAAATTACCAAATTTATGCTGTCAATTGCGCGAATATATTTTAGTTGGCCATATTCACTTCGTTTTGAACGAATAAATGTTGAGAGAATGCTGTAAAGTCCAAAAACTAAAGAATAAGAAAAATCGAGAGGAAAAATTATTCTCATTACAAGAAGATTTTGTTTAGACTGATAACTTTGGCTTAGACTGTAGGAAGTCATTGAACTTAAATTAAATTTATTCAATTAATTTATAAATACTTACAAAATAGTTTTAATTTTTTCATTTCTATAAATTAAATAATAATCGGCAACAGCGATACATAATACTAAAACTATTGTAATAGAATGAGTGTAAAGCAAAACTTGAGAATTATTATTGCTTGTTAAGGTTAAATAAGCCATCGGATGGCCAAATGTTTCTGTGTCCATCGATGTGCTTATGTAGATAAAACAACCAAAAATTAAGGTTAATGACCACTAGAAATGACATTTAGAAATATTTAAATTATAGTATTTTCTCTTGATTAATTATTTTCCACCCTCATGTTAGAGGGAGTAATTAATTGAAGGCAATCATTATTATCCACAATTAGGTACTAAGTATTAGAGACCAGACATAGGGGAATTGTACGAGATCTAGAATTAGACTCTACTAAGTATATGCACTAGATTTATTTTTAGCACTAGTATAACCACCATATAATTTTGTATTATTATTTATTTAACACATTCTTTGTTTACATTTAAGGAGTTATACTTGATAGTAATTAATCAAGATTGGCAATTATTTCAGGTACTAAGTAATAGGTACTAAGTAATATTTCAGGTACTAAGTAATTCAGGTACTAAGTAATAGAATCGAGGAAATACCATATATCTGTTATTCTCAAAAATATTACCACAATAATTGTGCTAATAACTCCAAATATTTTTCCTTTTTTCTCGTAAATTTTAACATAAACCGTAGCCAAAAGACGTTCAATCATTATAGCAAAATGAAATAATGGAGAGCCAGCATTGTAAATATATGCGGGCATTAAGATTAAATAAACTAACCAAACTTGTATTAAACAATCACAGGGATTTATATATGTGAAAATAACAATCTGAAAAAGTAGTATAATATTCTAAAAACAAAATTTTGCCCGAATTTTCCCAAGATCCTTATTGTTTGTTTTAGATTTTTATTTTCATTTTAGATTTTATTTTATTTTTCAGAAAAAAATTTCGTTAAGTTATACCAAATGTCGTAGCAGTGAATATATTCGATATGACTTTATAACTAGTTCAAACGAACAGATTTCGTTATAACACCCCGATATGATTTAAATAATTAAAAAAATAATTTATTAAACCTACAAAATTTAGGAAAGCAGAACTAATGTGTGACAATGCAAAAATTAAGTAAAGTACAAATACATTACTCATTAATATCTTAAATATTTAAATAAAATAATTTTTTATTTTTAAAAACAAAAAAAAAACTAAGCTATATTTTCATAAAAATTTCAAAAAATAATTAAATTCTTTTAAATATTTTTCTACTATTTTTCTACTATTTTTCTATATTTTTATTTTATAATTTTTAACCCTTTTAATAATAATTAACTCACAAGTAAATTTTTATGTAAATTCATTGACATTGTTTTGTAAGAATAAATAACTTTTATTAACATTATAACAATAATTAATCCAAAAATAATGTGTAATGCCCTCACAGTGTTACAACCAGTATCGAGAACTGACTCTTCGGCAGCAATACATTGAGAGTTATTATTCATTTTAAATTTTGATTAAATTTTCTAAATAAATTTAAAAAATAATTTTGTTAATTTTCTAATAAATTACGTTTTTATTTAAAAATTTTAAAATGTTTTTAATTGTTAGTTTTAAGATATTATTAAATATACAAATATGGCTTTGTTGATAGATTATTTACTAAAAATGTAAATAAATATATATTTTAGGTAATTCAAAAAAAAATTAATTATTGTGTATTTCCATTATTTAAATAAATATTTTAACAGTAAATAGCAAATATCTTTTAAATTTAAAATAAATTCTTTTAAATTTTATGTCATTTATTTTTAATTGTTATATTTATTTGTTTGTTTAAAAAGAGAAAATAAAAATTAAATTTTGCAAAACAAAATAAAAATTGCAAATAAATTTTTAGAGAGAAAAAAAGGAAAAATTTAGTTAAGTTTTTAATGTTAATTCTTTAAAAACTAAAATTATTTAAACAATTTTAGTCTGATGAAAACCTCGTTTAGTCTGAATAATTTTGAGTGGAGAAATTGGGGAAATTTAATTTAAACTTTTACCAAGAAAATTTATTAATTTTCCTTTATATTTATAATTAAATAAAATAAATTTATTAAATAAAAATGAAACAAAAAAGTGTTTAACGTTTAATGATTTTATTTAATTTGTAATAATTATTTTAGATTAAATTAAAAATTAATAAATTGTGAACATGTTTATATGTAATTTAATTTAAATTTAATAAATATTTATTAACAATTACTTTAATTTAAAATACTTTTAAGAATTTACGGTTAATAAAAGCTGTTACTCAATTAATGCTTACTCAATTTAAGCAATTTTGCAGTAAAATCGCAACATTATCTTCATCGAAGTAATATAATTATTTAGAAAATTTTTGAGTGTCAGCGTTATCGCAGGTTCGAATCTTTACGTTTCCGGATATGCGGGGATTTCTCAGACTACGCCATCATTATTCGTGACTCTCTGATCTTGATTCGTTCAATTTGCTTTGAATTTGAAATTTTAGTTTTTAAAATACTGCCCTAAAGTGTTTTGGAAGTCGGCCTGGACCGGACTAATTTGTTATCCATTACACCACGCCGCTTCTGCATAGCTTTAAGAATATAAAATTTTTAAGAATAGAGAATAGAAAATTGATAGAGAATTTTTTGGACTTTAATAAAAACATATCCTTTTTGATATTTATTGATTAATTACACTAGAGATATTGGTGAAAGTAAGATTGCACTTGCATTAATTGTTTCCATAATTTTGCACCTGACTGTACGTACAAGAGTGACTATGAATAAAATTTTAAAAGAGAGTTAAACTTTAATTTCCAGACAGACGATAATTAATTTTAAAATCATTGCTTAAGCGATGAATTATTCCCATTGAGAGCTTAATTAATTATAGACAAGCTATCGGTACTTCCTTTGAATAAATTAAGTGTAAATCGTATATAATGATAATATAATCAATTAACAGTTGTTTATACAAATATATAAATCCATAAAATCGTCTATAATTTTTTAACGTAATAAAATAATTATTTGTTAATATTTTATTTTAGAAAATTTATATCCTGGTTGGGTTAAATAGTGTTGGCAATTTTAATACAAAAGAATTCCTTTAAAAATGAGTAAATTTTTCAAATTCAAAGAAATTATCACTTATGAATTCCTTAATTTTCTTAATTATTTTTATTACCTTTCTTGTCGGAACTAAACAAGAAAACTGCTCGGTGCCTAGCAAAGGACCTGATAATTCGCCAATTGCTTGCACAGAAAGTGGCATAGTTAGAGGAGCTAAAGGAAATAACTTTCCAAATGTTGTATTTTTTAAAGGTAGAAATGAAGTTGATAAAAAAAAATTTTTGATTCTGGATTTAGGCATTCCATATGCAGCTCCACCCGTAGGTGTTCGACGATGGAAAGAGCCAATATCTGTGGAAAACTGGGATGGAATTAAGAATGCAACCAATTGGGGCCAATTATGTACTCAGACTGTTAATCAAGATAGTACAAAAGTTATTGGATCCGAAGATTGTCTATTCTTGAATATTTTTACAAGTAATAAAGGGGTGTTTATTCTTATAAAATTTATTTTTAAGCACTTGATTCAATTGGAAAAAAGGCAGATCCAAAACCTGTATATATTTGGATACATGGCGGAGCGTTATCATATGGTTCATCCTCAGCAGGTGCCTGGGATGGTGAAGCTATGGCGAGTAAAGGGATTATATTTGTCTCAATCAACTATCGTCTCGGACTTCTCGGTTTTTTCACACATCCAGCATTGCGGGAAGAAAATCCAAAGCTCAACGGAAATTACGGGCTTCTAGACCAAATATTTGCTATTAAATGGGTAAAAAACAATATTGCCAACTTTGGAGGAGATCCAGAACAGATTACTGTTGGAGGACAATCTGCCGGTATTTTTGGTTTAAAAATCGCTGACATTTTAGTATTATAGGTGCAATTTCGTCACTTTTATTGGCATTTTCTCCTTTGGCTTCAAATCTATTCAAAGCGGTCATTTCCGAAAGCAGTGGTGCTTTTTACCCCGATGATCCGATAAACTGGTGGATGACCCCCTATACAGTACAAGAAGCTGAAAATGTCAGCCTTAGTCACCTTGAATCAGTAAATGTTAAAAGAGACATTACTGTAGATAAACTGCGTGATGTGACTGTCGAACAACTTGTATTTTTTTCATATTTCTAAAGAAAATTATTTCAAATTTCTAACAAAATTCAAAAATAACATTAATATCTTCTTCAGTATCAACAAACATGGAAACTACGACGGTGGCGTCAAATACTCGATGGATATGTAATTCCTCTTCCATTTAAAGAGATAATGAATGAAGGACTACAAAACAAAGTTCATGTTCTTATGGGTATTTTTAATTTAATTAAATTATATTTTCTAATAAAATTACTTAAAAGGCTTCAATTATGACGAATTCGGAGCGTCCCCCTCAAATAATGTTACCTTAGAACAATATAAACGGTCTGCATCTAATAATTATAAAAGTCTTGCAAATGAGTTTATGGAACTTTACCCAGCAAATGACGATTCATCTGCAAGTAAGAATAATGTGTAGATTTTTATAAATTAATACATATAACTTTAAATAAATTACTGTCGCCTCTCGATTTTAAGAAAATCTAGACTTAAATACTACTTCAATTTTAATTATAATTTTTCGAAATTTTGTTTGACTGCGCGGATTCGTCCTTCAATTTTTAGATCCACTTGTTCCTCAGAAAATAGGAAAAACTTCACATAAATCATATATTTTAGCGACTGCCACAAACAACGCAATTCGAGAATACAGTATTATTACTCAATATATGTGGGGGCAACTTTGGCTAAAGAAATCTAAAAAATGCTTATATCAATTTTTATGGAAACATCCCCTTCCTGGTAATGAAAATACTGTTGGCACAGATCATGGAGCAGAAACTGTCTATTTCCTTAATACAGTTTCTAAAAAATTGGGTAAAAAGGAGCTTGAATTGGCTGACAAAATGTCTTCCTATATTGCTAATTTTGTTAAGAAATATAATCCTAATGGTGGACAGTTGCCAAATTGGCCAAAACAAAATTGTGAAAAAGATATTGTGATGAGTTTGGGCGATTCTTTTGGGGAAATTCCTTTGGCAGCTGTTAATTTGGACAAGAAGATCGATTTTATTAAAAGAAATTTTGCATTAAAAAACATTTTATAATGAAATGGACTTGAAAATATATATAAATTAAAAATTATTTTAAATCATGTTTATTATGTACTCTAATTTTTAAATGTATTTCAATTTATTGAGATACAGAGCTGTCGAATTTTCCCAAAATTCGAAGGGAAATAGTAGAAGTTTTAATTCTTAAAAAACTCAAATAAACTCTAACAACAAATTTTATTCCAACAAAATAATATTAGTAATACAATACTGTGCTAAGTCCGAATCTGAGCTTAGAATTTGTTTGTTTCGAACCCCGAACCCTGAATCCGACCAAGTCGGATTCAGGGTAAGAATTCGAAATTACAATATTATGGTTATTCTGCTCGTCTCTTTATTCTGAGTCGAGTGGTGTCAAAATTATTAAGTTTCGTTTTAAACGAAGTTATGATCAATTAAACACACATTAGTATAGACTTCTGTGTAGAAAACCGGAATCATAACTCCGTTTAAAACGTGTCACGACACTTGCAGATATGACATTTGCAGACCCGACACTTGCAGACCCGACTTTTGCAGACCCGACATTTGCAGATACCGACACTTGCAGATATGACACTTGCAGATCAGACATTTGCAGATCCGACTTTTGCAGATTAGACCCATTTCGGCTCTCTTCTTTACCTTACCTATACACCGTGGAGTGTTTGCTGCTGCGGAGGAATCCTGGGATGCACATCTCATCGATGATAGGAATAGGATCATGTTACGAGCCCAGAGCCCAGCGACCGTTGACTCCCCGCAAGGCGCGTGCCGCCCCGCGCTTCGCGCGGGGTTTTGCACAAGCGCCTTTCCGGCGCTCCATAGGTCTACGTTGAACATTTTGAACCTCCGGAAAAAAGAGTGGTGCCGTTCAACTCAGCTCGTCGAGACGAATTGGTATGGGTCTTATATCAAAACCTTTCCACCGGTATAATATCCTTTGATTTTTTGCTATTTTAAAATCTTTTTAAATTTAAATTTTTTTTCAAAAATTAATATCTGCAAAAGTCGGATCTGCAAATGTCTGATCTGCAAGTGTCATATCTGCAAGTGTCGGTATCTGCAAATGTCGATCTGCAAAAGTCGTCTGCAAATGTCGGGTCTGCAAATGTCATATCTGCAAGTGTCGTATGACCGTTTAAAATGGTCGAAATTTAATAATTTTGATATCAATCGACTCAGCTTGAAGAGTCTAGTCCGATTAATCATAAAATTTGAAGTTTCGAATATTTACCCCCAATTCGACCTGGTTGAACCGGGTCCGGGGTTCGAAATAAGCAAATTCTAAGCTCAGATTCGGACTCAGCACAACCGATTCCTGGTAACCCTTAAAAATATCGAAACAGCACTTTTTCTTCATTTTTTCTAGGGACCAGTAATCTTTACATTTACCATACAAAACAGAAAAAATATTATTCTCCTTTTCAAATTAAACAAATGAAACAATAAAAGAGGGAGAGCCAAAAAATATATAATTCTGGAATAAAAAATAGTTTAACTGCAAAAACTGAATAAAAACAAAACTGATAAATTTTGAAATCGGTTAGCCAAACAAAGGAGATGGTCCGATTGGAAAAAGATGAAATAATGGGGAAAAATTGACCCGTTGATTGTTCCTTCTGAGCGGCTCTATTCTTCATTAGCGGTTCTTCCAAATCTCATCGGAACCATTAGATTCTTTACAAGGCCAGATGCAACAATAAGCTGTCGAGAATGGATGCTGGGACGTTGCATCAACTTTCCATACGGCATAGCACAAACATGAGTCTTAGCCAACTTTGAATTGTAGTAGACATTTTTAAAAGGGGGTATTTAGTTTTATGTTTCACATTCTGTAAGCTGTGCCAACTGTGGATTAGTAATAATTTCCATTGATGAATTATTTCTAATTAGTGCATTAGCTAAAATAACGGTTGGTACTGGTTATGGAGTTGTAGTTGGGTAATATGGTTTTTCACTGTTGTATTACTTTATTTGATGAAATTGCTTGGATAACCGTTGGTGCTTGTGAAGGAGGTTTAAACTCGAATCAGGTGTTTATCAGTCAACGAGAGAATCTCCCTCCAATCTTTCACAACATGATGAAAACATTGTATTTCAAACGGATTAATATTGGATAAATCAGAAATTAACTGTTTAAGAGTAAGATTTTCATTTCCTTCTATTTGGGTTAATTTTAATGAAGGTAGTGGAGTGGAAGGATTCACTTAATGGATTTGTTTAAAATCATTTAAAAGAACATTAAATTTAGAGAGGATGATACAGTATTTACGGTTATTGGGAGGGGCGATTTTCAATCATGTAAGGTGTAACTGTTTGGCTATAATGCGGCGTCGGGAATTATCTATAATTGCTGGCTCTCGACCTAATGGTTTAGGCAATTTTTCCTTGGTTTTTTATGAGGGATTGGGCCTTCTTTTCATAACTTTAGACAAAAAATTACCAGGTAATTAAGAGTGGGGATTATTGTTTAATTTCCTTTCAATATATCTTCTGATGTATGTATATAATCAGTTTCTGATGAAGGAATTAAAAGTAAATGATAAATTAGACTGTTGTAAATTTTCAAGAGATAAAGGGAATGTTCTGGGAATAAATCTGGAATTGGGTTTTAGTCAAAACAAGGGGCATTTCTTTGGAATAATTATGAGTTTTACTTCCTTATCATTTATAGTCTCTTGTAAGGGTGTAAATTCTTTGCAAATAAAACTAATACAAATCTCTTCAATAGGAGTAAAGCCGGGAGGGGGACCAATGGGTCTTTTATTGGTAATTTCATTTGTAATTCTTTTACTCAATATAAGTTTTTCATTATTCTGATTATCTATAGGATATAGTGTAGTGTACCGGTGGTAAAAGTTCGGGACGTGACATATGTCATTCGATTCGTCTCGACGAGCTGAGTCGAATGGTACCACTCCCCACTTTAGGAAATGATTTTGGACCGAGTTATAGGTCCCGAAAAATCGAAAAACCATAGGGGGGACCAAGCACTTTTTTGGTGTGAAAAATTCGAAAATACAAATTATACCTCATTCGAAAGAGCTCGACGAGCTGAGTCGAATGACACCAAAATCAACGAAATCCGACTTGATTGGACCTAGATATAGACCCCTAAAAACCGAAGATCCAAAGGGGCGATTTTTGGAATAAAAAATTTTTTATGCAAATAATACCTCATTCGAAAGAGCTCGACGAGCTGAGTCGAATGACACCAAAATCAGCTTGATTGAACAAGATTAGACAAAGTTACGATGCAAAAAACAAAAAACCTAAACCTATGGGGCGTAGGCGAGGCGCTTGTGCAAAACCCCGCGCTTCGCGCGGGGTTTTGCGGCACGCGCCTCGCGGGGAGTCTACGGGCGCTGGGTCTGGGCTCGTAACATAAACCTATTCCTATCTCACTTGCTCTAGTCATATTTGGGACCTCCGTAGCAGCAAAAATCTCCAAATATGTCATAGGTAAGGAGCTAAAACAAACTGTCATAACTTTGTCAAATCAAGTCGGATTTCGTTGATTTTGGTGTCATTCGACTCAGCTCGACGAGCTCTTTCGAATGAGGTATAATTTGCATTTTCGAATTTTTCACCCCAAAAAAGTGCTTGGTCCCCCCTTTGGTTTTTCGATTTTTCGGGGCCTATAACTCGGTCCAGAATTATTTCCTAAAGTAGGGAGTGGTACCGTTCGACTCAGCTCGTCGAGACGAATCGAATGACATATGTCACGTCCCGAACTTTTACCACCGGTACACTACACTACAGCCTATCTATATTGTTAGGGTTCTTTTCAATATTTATTTCCTCTAGAGGGGAAAAACCAGAAAAGATAGCAAGTGGGTTAAATTTACTCATTTTATTATTTGAACAATTGGTTTTATTAGGAGGGCTCTCAGGGAATATTCGTGGTTGAGGATTATGGACTTGTTCATCCTTAGACGGATAGTCTCGAAAAACTGATCAGGGCTTTAGAACCAGAAAATCAACGGAAAACCGGGGTAGACGTCTTTAAAAAATATTTTCGACCTTTTACAGGTAAAATAATAATTTTATTTTCCGCAAAAAAAATTCACCTTAGAGTATTAATGTGATAAACTTTCATATAATAAAATTCACTCAAAAAAATGTAACTTGTAAACCAAACTCATTCTCTCTCAAAGCTGAATTTTTTCCAAATTATGTGATTAAAAACATCTTGTGACAATTTCAAGGGCTTGAAATAAGCCCAAAATGAAATTTTTATTTACCTGTAAGGGGTCGAAAATATTTTTAAAGACGTCTACCCCGGTTTTTCGTTGATTTTCTGGTTTCAAGATCTCAATGCTATGAGTAGATCAGAACTTCATTTCTTTTGTAATTCTTATCCATATTGATAGATATGTATGTTCACAAAAATTTTCGTGGATTTTTCTCACAATTGTAAACCTAAAAACAAAGCTGCATTATAATTTTGTAACACCGCTATTTTAAAAAAATTAAATAATTCAAAGGCTGTAAATTAAAAAATCCATTTCAGTGTTAAATATTGTATTTTCCAAAAAAAATTTTCATTAATTTTTGTGTTGAATGTTGTAATATGTGTGTTGTTTATGTTTAAAATGTTGTTAGAGGGATATATAAGGATTTTGGAGGCTATGAAGGATGTTAAAAGTTTGGAAAATTTTCGATGTTAAAAGTTTGGAAAATAGTAATTCGAGGTTGGAATTTGACCAGTGGTTGGAATTCTGAAATTTGCTCGTACTCGAACTTTCGTACAGGCCTTTTTTACCTCGTACTCATACCTGCCATTCTTTGGCATTTTCGGGTCCAAGGAGCAATATTTCCTCCAAGGATTTCCTCCAATATTTCCTCCAAGGATCCACTTAATCTCAAATTCTATCCCTGCGCTGCAGGCGAAAATGTTGAGAATTTTGAAGGTCCTAAAGTAGAGCGCGGACCGTACCGTACTACGGCCGTATTTTTCGGTATTTATCGGTATTCCGTATCGGTAATACGGTACGGAATACGGTACGGTAAAATTTTTGCTGTAATACGGGCCGTATTCCGTACTACGGCCGTATTTTATCGGTATTTATATCGGTATTATATTTATATCGGTATTATTTATATCGGTATATTCCGTATCGGTAGTACGGTACGGAATATGGTACGGAACGAAATTCCTCGCTCTATCCTAATGTCATATTTCTTCCGTTTTTGCACGCAGGTAAAATTTTGAAAATCATGAAGCCAGATTTTTTCTATTTTTCACCGCCTGAGGCGAAAATTTGAGAATTTTGGATCTACCCAAAGAAAAGATAAAGAGTCGATGAATTTTTCGATGAGCCCCATAATTTTTCACCTGACAGTATGTATGTATAAGAGAGACTATGAATAAAATTTTAAGAGAGTTAAACTTTAATTTTCAGACAGAAGACAAATAATTTTAAAATTATTGCTTACGCAATAAACTACTTCCATTGAGAGATTTATTATTTATAACCGCTACTTCCTAATAAATTAAGCAAATAGTTTTAATAATAGGCATATTATATAATCATATATCAGTTGTTAATACAAATATATACATAAATCTATAAAATCGTCTATAATTTTAATAGCGTTGGCCAACACAGAAATAGTGTTGGCAATTTTATTACAGAAAAATTCTTTTAAAAATGAGTAAATTTCTCAAATTAAAATCAAATTACTAAATAATTATGAATTCCTTATGTTTCTTATTAATTTTTATTACTTTGCTTGCCGAAGCTAAACTAGAAAACTGCTCAGTGCCTAGCAATGGATCTGATAATTCGCCAATTGCATGCACAGAAAGTGGCATAGTTAGAGGAGCTAAAGGAAATAACTTTCCAAATGTTGTATTTTTTAAAGGTAGAAATGAAGTTGATAAAAAAAAATTTTTGATTCTGGATTTAGGCATTCCATATGCAGCTCCACCCGTAGGTGTTCGACGATGGAAAGAGCCAATATCTGTGGAAAACTGGGATGGAATTAAGAATGCAACCAATTGGGGCCAATTATGTACTCGACTGTTAATCAAGATAGTACAAAAGTTATTGGATCCGAAGATTGTCTATTCTTGAATATTTTTACAAGTAATAAAGGGGTGTTTATTCTTATAAAATTTATTTTTAAGCACTTGATTCAATTGGAAAAAAGGCAGATCCAAAACCTGTATATATTTGGATACATGGCGGAGCGTTATCATATGGTTCATCTTCAGCAGGTGCCTGGGATGGTGAAGCTATGGCGAGTAAAGGGATTATATTTGTATCAATCAACTATCGTCTTGGACTTCTCGGTTTTTTCACACATCCAGCATTGCGGGAAGAAGATCCAAAGCTTCACGGAAATTACGGGCTTCTAGACCAAATATTTGCTATAAAATGGGTAAAAAACAATATTGCCAACTTTGGAGGAGATCCTGAACGAATTACTGTTGGAGGACAATCTGCCGGTATTATTAGGTTTAAAAATTGCTGACATTTATTATACATACTAGGTGCAATTTCGTCATTTTTATTGGCATTCTCTCCTTTAGCGTCGAATCTATTCAAAGCGGTCATTTCCGAAAGTAGTGGTGCTTTTTATCCCGATGATCCGATAAACTGGTGGATGACCCCCTATACAGTACAAGAAGCTGAAAATGTCAGCCTGAGTCACCTTGAATCAGTAAATGTTAAAAGAGACATCACTGTAGATAAACTGCGTGATGTGAAAGTCGAGCAACTGGTATTTTTATTTATAAAGGATTTCATATTTCTAAAGAAAATTATTTCAAATTTCTAACAAAATTCAAAAATAACATTAATATCTTCTTTAGTATCAACAAACATGGAAACTACGACGATGGCGTCAAATACTCGATGGATATGTAATTCCTCTTCCATTTAAAGATATAATGAATGAAGGATTACAAAACAAAGTTCATGTTCTTATGGGTATTTTCAATTTTAATCAAATTATATCTTCCAATAAAATTACTTTAAAGGCTTTAATTATGACGAATTCGGGGCGTCCCCCTCAAATAATGTTACCTTAGAACAATATAAACGGTCTGCATCTAATAATTATAAAAGTCTTGCGAATGAGTTTATGGAACTTTACCCAGCAAATGACGATTCATCTGCAAGTAAGAATAATGTGTAGATTTTTATAAATTAATACATATAACTTTAAATAAATTACTGTCGCCTCTCGATTTTAAGAAAATCTAGACTTAAATACTACTTCAATTTTAATTATAATTTTTCGAAATTTTGTTTGACTGCGCGGATTCGTCCTTCAATTTTTAGATCCACTTGTTCCTCAGAAAATAGGAAAAACTTCACATAAATCATATATTTTAGCGACTGCCACAAACAACGCAATTCGAGAATACAGTATTATTACTCAATATATGTGGGGGCAACTTTGGCTAAAGAAATCTAAAAAATGCTTATATCAATTTTTATGGAAACATCCCCTTCCTGGTAATGAAAATACTGTTGGCACAGATCATGGAGCAGAAACTGTCTATTTCCTTAATACAGTTTCTAAAAAATTGGGTAAAAAGGAGCTTGAATTGGCTGACAAAATGTCTTCCTATATTGCTAATTTTGTTAAGAAATATAATCCTAATGGTGGACAGTTGCCAAATTGGCCAAAACAAAATTGTGAAAAAGATATTGTGATGAGTTTGGGCGATTCTTTTGGGGAAATTCCTTTAGAAGCTAATAATTTGGACAAGAAGATCGATCTTATTAAAAGAAATTTTGCATTAAAAAACATTTTATAATGAAATGGACTTGATATATTACTCAAAATATGTGGGGACATCTTTGGCTAAAAAGTATAGTAGTACTTTTTAGCCAAAGTTCTAAATTTATTTCTCTAATTTCTAAATTTATTTCAATTTATTGAGATATGTATTTACATAGTATTTGTTTTCAAAACTCGTATACTGTTGGCGGATTTTGGAAATCTTCGAATATTTTTATCGTATAACCTAACCAGATTAGAGCAATAAACAAGTTTATTTATAAGAATTAACTCATATACGATAAAAAAATTTTGTTTTGTCGAAAAGAATACTAACAGTAAATACGTCTTATCTTAAGTAAGTAATCCCGATCGAATTTTGAATATTATTCGAAAAACCCTCCAAAACTATAAACTCTGTCATTCCATCACTGAAATGGTAAATTTTAATTGATAAATTTCTTTAATATATTTTAAAATTAATAAATCCTTTATGAAAAATATTGAAGAAAATAAAGCTATATAAATAAAATTTATTGAATTTAATTACAAATAAAGTTAGGTAAATTGAAATATGTAAATCTTTGTAAAAATTATATTTTTATACATATTATTGTCTAATAATTTAAATTTTATTTGAAACAAAATTTAATTATTTCCAAGCATAATTTAATTTTTTAAAATAAATGTCTGTACTCATTGCTGAATTCTTTTTAATAAAATTTTTATTTATATCATTTTGTTTCTTCAAAAAATAGTCATAGACAATTAGAGTTATCATTGCGTGAAGAACAATTAACTTTAAAAATTTATTAAATTTTCTACTAAAATTTTTTTGAATTAATTACCAGAGTTATAGCATCAATTGCACGTATATAAATTAATTGGCCAGTTTCTGGTCGTCTTGCTCGAATATAACTCGAAAGAAAGTTATAAATTGCAAAAACAAAAGAATAAGAAAAATCGAGAGGAAATATTATTTTCATAACGAGAATGTTTTGTTTAGCTTGGTAATTTTTGCTGAGGTTGTAGGTTGTCACTGCACTGAAACTTTAATTTTAAAAATAAGTAGTGTTTTTAGTAGGTTATGTCTAGGGTTAGGTCGATTCCTAATCTGATGAAAGGGACTTTTCTCTCTGATTTTTTTGTTTGCCCCAGTTCACCGAGGGCAGCATGAGATACCATCGTATCCGTAGTAGAAATACCGGAACCACCGTCCCTATTAAAAAGCAACCTGACCTTAAATTTGGAACACTAGTCTGTCTGGCCCTAAAAAATCTTCCAATACTCCGTAAAAATTAGAGCTTAATCCTCTCTAGTCTTTAATTACTTACAAATTTGATTTTATTTTTTTGTTGTGGTGAAATAAGAAATAGTCTGCAATAGCAATGAATATTACCAAGACAAGGTAAAAAGAATGGAAATCAATCAGAACTTGGGCATTATAAACACTTGTCAATGTTATATAAGCCATTGGATGGCTAAATGTTTCGGCATCTATAATAGAGCTTAAATAAACATATAAAGCAAACAATGCGGATAATGCCCACTGAAATACATAAATTAAAAAAATTTATTTTTTAATTAAATTTACCACAATAATTGTAATAATTATTCCAATCATTTTCCCCCGATTTTCGTAAATTTTAACAAAAATAGTAGCAAAAACGCGTTCAAGCATTATAGCAAAATGAAACAAAGGAGAACCAGCAACATACAAATAAAAAGGAATTCTGAGTAAATAAACTACCCAAGCTTCAATTAAACAATCACAAGAATTTTTATAAGTAAATAGAATAGTCTGAGAAGATAAAATAGGTAAGAAATTTAAAAAATAATGATCAACTCACAAAATACATTACGGAAGTACCCAACTGTGACATTACAAAAATCGCGTAAAGAAATAGTAAATTGCCGACTAATACCTAGTAATTTATTATATTTATTAGAATAGTTTTATTTTGAATATATTTTGTTTTATGTATCATAAATGGGTGAGTATCATAAACGAGTCAAGGAGCGACCAAATCACGGACCATACCAACACAAGGAACGACCAACTTATGGAATGACCAAAACACGGAATATTTTAAAAATTGGAATTTCTTAAAAATCTGAATATTTTTAAAGAATAAGAATTTAAGAAAAATTAGAATACTTTAAAAAGAATTTTAAAAAATCAGAAAAATTCTGATTTTTAAAATATTCCGTGTTTTGGTCATTCCATTAGTTGGTTGTTCCTTGATATGTCTGTTCCTTGAGTTAGCCCGACTCGTTATAAATAGGGAAGGGTATTTGATGTTTTTGCCTTCCCGTTTTCGGTTAACTCGTGTTTTAATTGTTTGGGCATTTAAAAAATATTTATTCTCTCTACATTTATCTAATAAAACTTACAATAAGATTTGTATGTAATTTTAACGATTTAGTTCTGTAAGACCAAATAATTCTTACAATCAAAATCAAAACAGTTGTCCCAAATAAAAGATGGAATGCTCTAATAATGTTGTAACTAGTATCTAGAACAGATATTTCAGCAGCAGTACAGAGTGTTTGGTTCATTTTAAATTATTTAAAGGATATAAGGGAAAGAATTTGTTTTTCTAAAAATTTATTTTAATTTAGAAAATTCAAAAAATAAATTTATTTATATTCAAAATAAATAAATAATTTAATTTATTATTTAAATTTTTCTTTTTTATGTAAATATATGCGTGTTTCCAACAGTTTCTCTATACATAATAAAACAATTAGTTTACGTAATTAATTTCAATTATTTGCAAAATTAAAATAAATCAAAATAAATAATTAAAAATAACAAAACCAAAAAATACCTAATTCTATTCTTATATTTTGTTAAAAAATTAAAAGCTTTTAAAAAATATTATTTTTATATCGAAAAAGCGTCCAAAAAATAAAACTTATTGCGCATATGTAAAACACAAATAAGCTTAGATATAATTAAAAATCAAAAATTAATCTCAAATATAAAGTTTATTTTTTTGTTTTTATTGGATAAAAATATTCTTTTAATGCCTGACATATTTTAAATGTAAATACTCAGGGAAAACTGCTATAAATGCCTAATTATTTTTGATATTTGTACATAACTACATTTTATTCAGCTGTTATATTTTATATCTTAATTGCAAAAATTTTAGAATTTAAAATATTTTCGTTGTTTATATTTTCTGTTAATATAATCAAGTAAATATAATTAATTCAAATAAAATTTTTCTAATTTTGGCAATGAAATAAATTAATAATTTAAAACTAAAATAAATTTTGGAACACCTCTTTCAAAACACCTGGTTCAAAAGGTGTGCCAGTTTTTTATCAAAAATATCTCTTAAATTTTATTTAAAAATTAATTCCCGAATAAAAATGTTGCTAATTAAATTAATTTAATGCTCGAAATAAAATCTTTGGTTTCTAATGAAAAATAACATATGGCAAATAAAATAAAGAAATTAAGAAATAAATAATAAAAAATGTGGAAATGTGTTTTTAAAATTCGTGTACCGATCAAAATTAGTTCCCAATATTTGCACATGGTATAATAAATAAAAAATGAATGAAAATATCTTTAAATTATTTTAGAATATTAAAGTCAGAATCGTTAAAAGATGCAGATTTTTTGCGGCAGATCTTTAAATTAGATTTTTTTATTTTATGTAGAATTGTTAACAAAAATCAGAATTTTTATATGTATCTAGAAAAGCTTATTCAAAAAGGGTAGTATGTAATTT